GCAGCAGCCGCCTTGCCATGTTGGCTTCGAGATGCAAATGCGCTGTGTCTCCCGGCGGGCAGACATCATCCGGAAAGCGAAGCTCAAGCCGGGGTGCCTCAAACTCCTCAACCTGCCGGCCAATAACACAATGAACTGCAACCTGCAGCAGCCACTGCTTGCTTACATCACTGTCATCACTTATTCCTCATGCAGCCCCTGCTCCTGGGAATATTCATGAAGCGATACCATTCTATTGGGTTGCCATAGGAGCGACTACTGCACACAGGCTCTGCCTACCTGAGCCAGCACCCGGGCTTCTTAAAAGGGCAACGCCTGGCTGCCAAGGGTGTGTGTGGCTGAACGGGCGCCGCAACGCCGCTGCTGCTGCTGCTGCCGCCGGGCTGCAAGGACTGCGTTGCCCTGGCGCTGCGGAACTCCTGCCGCTGAGCAAAAGTCACCCGCGGCTCGGCTTTAGCCGACAGTGCCAGGCTTAATGCCATCCTTGGTTTGAAAAAAATTACCGGGCGAATTTAAAAATAGCAGCATCGCAAACATAAAACAAAAAAAACAGGAGCAAGAAGATTCCTTTTTCTCTTAGATGCTGATGATCCTTTCTCCTTCTGGAGTGTGGCTGCTTTGTGCAGGTTTGCTTGTGAAGACACAGGGGGTTTTGTGGGAAGGGGCAAATCCAAATCTAAAGGAAAAACAGGTTCACCTTGAAAATCTCACTTGCATGCAAAGCAGGGGCTTGGGGAGTGCCTGTCTTTTCTAGCAGAAGTTTGCCTGCTGGGAAACACGTTGTGTTTTGTACCTGTCTGCAAACCACCAAAGGTTTGGAAGGTTTCTTTTTCCTTTGCTGCCTTGCTTCCCCGTTAGACATACAAAACGTTACTATTTCTCTCCTGCGGGGTTGGATCTGTAGAAGTCATTCAAAAAAAAGCAAGCTGCATCTCAAAGAGCTCCCCTACTGGATTGAGGGAGGCTGGACTGGGATGGCGAAGGAGGAGTGTGTGGGATGCATGGGCTCTCCCTACGACAGGGGGAAACCCACTTCCCAGTGGGCACCTGAGTCAGCACTTTCTGTGGCTCACTCTCGACTAGCGTGCCTCCCGGGAGGTTGGTCCTGGCAAAAAGAACAGGTCTGGATGGGAATCCTCCTTCCTTGTGCTGCTGGCTACAATGCACCTCGTATAATAGAGGCCAAAGCAGTGGAAAAAGGCTAAAATCAGGCTCTTCCCTACTTCTTGTTCTTTGAGAGTTTTTCTGGAGAAAAGGGGGAAGAGAGGTGGCAATCAGTCCAGCCCTCCCTGAGGTTCTTTGTGAATGGCTCTTTATTTTGTAACATTCAAGAAGCTCTTAGATTGATAAACTAGTTCAAATTATGTACTAGTGCAAAGCCTTTGAAACCAATGGACTTAAATTAAGAATCTCTTTAGCCATATGAGAGACTGTTTGCATATATTTTTTCATAGATTCAATATCTGAGGCTTTCTAGAATGTTTTATACATTTAAAATCATACCTCCTATGAAAAGGAAACCACGTGAACTGTGCAGACATGCAGGGAGGCTAAACACAAGCAACGAACGTCCACTGCAAGCAGTGAGGAAATCCTCACCCCATCTCTGCGCTTTTGCTTTCATAGCAAATACTCACTTTTTCCCTTCCAGGATTCACCCATCACTGGCCTAAGGTAACTCTGCCATTTAAAGCAGCAGGATGTTACTTAAGCTCTTACTTCAAGGAGATGCAGCCATCAGCAGTGATTTCACCATACACAGACAGCACATGCTTCCTCATCTTTGTTTGCCTGCTCTCTTGCTCTCTTTCTTGAATCCTTTCTCTGAAGCATTCACCTGCTCCTCTTCTCCTCCCATCCCCTGGCACAACCTACACTGGCTGTGACTCATTTGAAATACTCTACAGTGAAGCTACCCAGTGCAAATATTATTTATTATTATTATTTTCATCACAATTTCTGGCAGAACAAGCTTTAGGGGGAAATGAATCTCGATTTTCAAATGCTCCTGTAGATTAGATAATGTGAACTAAGCCAGCGATAGCATTAAAGGTCTTTTTCCTCCTCTTCCCTCCTCCAGGCACTAGGGATGCTGAGGTGTAAGCACTTCTGTGGCTAAGCTGCAATCAACTACCTTCCAAAAGGATGTGTTTTGATTAATGAGGTGCATAACATCTGAAACTGATGCAGCTTCTTAGACACTGTCCCTAATGTTCCCAGAGAATGACAGAGCAATAAAGGGCATGCTAAAGGAATCAAGCTGTTCGTCCTCTTTCAGCTATAGGTAGTCTAGCTGGCTCTTGGAAAATACCACACTCTCTATTTCCTGGCCTTTCTGGGATTGTTCTCTGAGTGCTGCCTTATTTGATGACACAAATAAGATTCTCTTACAGCCCTGAAGTAGTCCCTAATGTTCCCAGAGAATGACAGAGCAATAAAGGGCATGCTAAAGGAATCAAGCTGTTCGTCCTCTTTCAGCTATAGGTAGTCTAGCTGGCTCTTGGAAAATACCACACTCTCTATTTCCTGGCCTTTCTGGGATTGTTCTCTGAGTGCTGCCTTATTTGATGACACAAATAAGATTCTCTTACAGCCCTGAAGTAGGGAAACAGAATGCTCCTTTATCACTTCTGTAGCTAGGAAAAAAATTATCATGTGCAAAGACTGAGTCAGGCTGACTGGCATACTGCTGCACAATTACAGAAGCACGCAGATATCCCCGTGCCCAGAATTCTGGCTAGCGCTTCCCAGCCACCAGTGTCCAGTCTATATATGATGCATAAGATTCCTCAGATACATTTTTTTTTGGGACCACGTTTGTTACCTTTACATCTATCTATAAAGAATTAAGCTTCACTTCAGTATCACACCTGTTTTGATGCAATTTTTCAAGCACATCATTTTAGCAAATACTATAGTCCCATTTAAAAAAAAAAAATGCTTAATCTGAAAAAGGAACTTAAGTGCTGTATTGAATCTAGGCCTAGTCTAGCAGATAGCCCAAAGGAGGTAGCCCAAAGTGCTAAACCCAGAAGGTGCGTTCTTGTGTAGCTCTGCCTCCAAGTGTGGGTTCCTAAACACTTCTAAAAACTTGGCTCCAGGAGTTAGAGGTACCAAACTCAGAGGGAGTTTTAAAGTCCTCAAAATGTAATGACAATTTTGTGTCCAGAGAACTTCAAAGTAATGATATTTTATTTGAGAGCCTTCCAAGAACTAAGTGCAGGGGGCTGGGAATTATCCTTGTCTAATGGTATGAAACTACTGTCATGGACATTATTTATTGTTGGCATTACAGCAGTGCTTTCCATGTCAGCAAATGGCCCTTTATAGGCACATTTTTAGAACATTTCAGAAAAGCTAGGACTGTTGCAGGACTAAGTCTTGCCTATCATTGGCTGCACAGTACATTCAGAGGGGGTATAGAGAATCCACGTGCCACAAAAAGGGAGAACTGTTTTTGAGGGGAATTATCTCCTTTTTAACAATGTTTGTCAGATACTGCTCCACGAATTGGCATAGATACAAAGGGAATGGATTTAGTAGGGAAAACGCAGGTGAAGCAGCCAAAGATTCATCTGTTTCTTAGGGAATTTTGCCAGCTCATATATACATATATATATATATATACGTACATATATATGTGGTGCTTTTTTAATAAAAATCCAGTGCTGCAATGCAAATGTAAAAAATCACATTCCTAATGAGCTCAGGACTATAGAAGAATAGACTGAGAGCCATAAAAACTGATATCCTCTAACTCAGGGTACAGAAAGCAGCAATGCAAGCTTTCTGCACACTGGCCTGTTAGGACCACCTTTGCTTGGGTGAGCGTTTCAGTCATCACCCTTGAAACCTTGGATTCTCAGATAAAAAAGGAGTCAACAAACATGTGGTATAGATTGGAAGAAAGGGAGCAAGTCCTTTCAAAGCTGCCTATTGTTCCTAGCAGGCAGCAAGTAACTCATAATAGGCATTAGAAATTCATGAAATATTCAACACTACAAAACAGGGAAATTCTACCTCAGAGTTTTAGTGGTAGTCTGCACTCGCTGCCGCTGCAGTTTATATCATATCTAGAAGGTAATAAAGAAATAATCACCATAAATACACAAATCCTATCTCCCCCTCGCCCCTATTAATTACTCAAGTGTGCTGTCACCCTTGTACTCGTTGAAATTCAGCCAGTGCTTTCTTACTGCTCTATCATGTTCCTTATAGAAACTGTAAAGTGGGGGATTGAACTGCTGGAACATATGTTGAAACCTATTTAAGGCACAGAGAAGAGGGCACCTGAGCATCTGGCCAGGATAAAGGAAAGAGCTGAGCAATGGGAAATGAGATCCATGCCAGGATGTAGGATTCTGGGGAGTCACCCCAGAGGGCAGGGGAGAGAGAGAAGAGTTCCACAGAGCTGGACGGAAGAAAGAAGTCCACTTTCGCCGTGCAAGAATTATTTTGGGTTGAGAGAAAGAACGGTTCAAAGTCCATCAGTGGGAGCAGAGAGATACTAAACAGATCCCTAACAACAACGGACTGTGGAGCCTGGCAAGAGAGGCAGCAGCAGGAGATGAGATACACAACAGGACAGAAAAGCTTGAATCGGGAAGTACTTGGAAAGCTATATTCATTCCAGATTCCAGTGGTAAACAAATCTGGAGCAATCCCTCTCTCTTCACCCTTATAACCAAGATCAAAATAGGAGCATTTGTCTAGGATATAGGGGGGGTTGCTGGGAATGTGCTTATAACTAACAAACAGCTTTGCCACTGGACTGCAAAAAAGGAAACGTTATCCAAAGAATCAGCCATGTTGGTGTCTATGGAAAGAAGTTACAGACTATGCAGAAAATAAACCTCTGAGATTTTCAGGATGTTTAGACGTTTTGTAAAAGCTGATAATCCTCACTGGAGCAAGTAGCTAAAAATCGTAGCTAGAAACAGATTGATTAGCAAAAGCATCTTGCTACCTGACCTTTAATCTTCCCCTCGGAGAACAGAAAACTTCATAGAAATAGGAAAATAGAGACAGGTAACCGGGTATGAAGCTATGAGAAAGAGAAATTACATAGAATCTGAGAAGCTGCTGAGATTAGAGCAACCATATGATTTAGTCACAGTTACTTTTAGTTTACAAAGTATCTACATTTTTACTTTATGGTCTAAACTCTACCAATGAATTTTCCAATATTCACACTGAAATGCTCACATTAAGCTTGTATCTTGGGCTTCAATAAAATTTGCCATCCAAATGTATATTCCATCAAATTTCTATTTAAAGGCCGAGAACTAGCTTATTCTTCTACCTTCATCTGGAATTATTCAGGAGAGGGTTGAGACAGCACGGGGAGGTTTGCTCAAACTGGATCAGTTCAGTGACTATCAAACGACTTTCTCAAAATAGCGCCTTTCACCAGCATTTAATGAGCTGTAGCTTCAAAAAGAATAATGGATCCTTCTTCACAAGTCTGTTCCTGCCGATGTAT